CTGCTTTGATTCACCTCTGGATTCCCAGAGCCTGTCACAATACCTGGCACTTTATCAATGCTCACCAGAGGATTGACAATCACCACATTGCTATCTCCTTTGAATGGCCTCCTGAGCATCAAACCCACACAGCCTATACCAACTAGATATCTCCACATGGATGCCTCATAGTCACCCCACAGCAAACCTCCTAGTGTCTCCTCCTTCTGTATTTTTGAGTTGATGTCATGCAACAGACGTCTATGGCATGTGTTTTCATAACATCATTGTTTCTATACCATCTCTGGACTTTGCTTTGCTCTTTCCATTGCATTGCAAGTTTCCTCTTATCTCTGCATCTTTCCCTTAGTCTTTACAATCCACTCTCCCTACTCCAGAGTCCAATACATTCTGCCAGAGCACTCTTTCTAAAATGCAAGTCTAGCCCTGGCTGGGTGGCTCAGTTGGTTGGAGCATCACCCTGTACACCAAAAGGTTGTGGGTTCAATTCCTGGTTGGGCACATAACTAGGTTATGGGTTTGATCCCAGGTCAGGGCGCTTATGGGAGGCAAGCAATCGATGTTTCTCTCACATTGATGTTTCTCTCTCTTTCAAATCAGTAAAAGCATATCCTCCAGTGGAATGTCAATAATTACATATACACCAAAAGCTACACTGGAAAAGAATATAGGGTTTTTCTTTGGGGGGAAAAAAACCTTAAGCATCACTGAAGAAGAATTTGCAACAAGCCATTTGAATTTATTTGGGTAGTAATCACTTTATATATGAGCAGAATTAAACACATATTTAAATTAATAGAAAAATACTTCTAATAAGCTGGAATTACATAAAATTTTTCAAATAAAAACAAAATGAAACAAAAAAATTAGTAATGTACATTTAGACTTACTGCAGAATAGCTTAACTACTATCATGAAAAATATCTTGGGGAAAAAAAAACCACCCTGAGTTTATGACAGATATAAACCTGAGTTAGTTTTACATTAAAAACACATAGCCACTTGGCTTAGTAACCCTATTTGAGATATTTGACAATAATCTCCTGGGTCACAGGACCAACAAGTGTGTATTGAACATTGATCCCTCTGGATTAGAAATGAACATAATTTGAGCTGTGTACATACCTTGGCCTAAAGATGCACAGTGAACTATTAGCCAGTTTTCCATGCAAATATTTTGTATGATTTGGACATCAGATAGCTCAGTCCAACATGTTTCAATTAAAAGCAGTCATAGGGTATCTCTGGAGGAATGATTGTTTGGCAAATACAAATATGAGTATTGAACACATATGCTAGAACAGCAATAGGCATATTCTTGGAGCTAGGGAAAATACCTTTAATTCAAAATTGCGCTCAATTTGGACTGTCTTTGTTTACTTATTTTAATGATTCAATAAGGACATGAGTTATATCTTATGTATCCAATAAATGCTATCCTTCAAAACCAAGCCAAAAGCACTGAGAAAGATTTTGGCACGGACTTAAGAACCACTTGTATGGTAGTCACTCAAGACACAAACTAAATAACATAAAATGAAAGTTAAGCTCAATTTGGAGAATATTTTCTTTTCTTTTTTTAAGGCATTTGTTTTATTTTTATTTATTTATTTATTTTAAATATATTTTATTGATTTTTTACAGAGAGGAAGGGAGAGGGATAGAGAGTTAGAAACATCGATGAGAGAGAAACGTTGATCAGCTGCCTCCTGCACACCCCCTACTGGGGATGTGCCTGCAACCAAGGTACATGAATCGAACCTGGGAACTTTCAGTCCGCAGGCCGACGCTCTATCCACTGAGCCAAACCGGTTATGGCTTATTTTTATTTCTTATTGAATTTATTGGGTTTGACATTGGTAAATAAAATTATATAGATTTCAGGTGTACAATTCTATAACACATCATCTGTATATTGCATTATGTGTTCACCGTCCCAAGTTGGAGAATATTTTGAAGTTTGGTTGTATGTTCTTGCCTCTTTTTAAAAAAATATTAATTGACCAGCCCGGCCAGTGTGGCTCAGTGGTTGAGTGTTGACCTATGAATCAGGAGATCACAATTTGATTCCTGGTCAGGGTTGCGGGCTCAATCCCCAGTGTGAGGCATTCAGGAGGCAGTTGATTAATGATTCTCTCATAATTAATGTTTCTATCTCTCTCTTCCTCTTTCTCCTTCTCTGAAATCAATAGAAATATATTTTTAATTAATTATTTAATTAATTAAAATATTAATTGGCCATATAAGCATGAGTTTTATTTCTGGGTTCTCTATTCTGTTCCACTAATCTATATGTCTGTTTTTATGTCAGTACCATGATGTTTTGATTACTATGACCTTGTAGTATAGTCTGATATCAGGTCGCATGATTCCTCCAACTTTGTTTTTCTTTCTCAAGATGCTGTTGAAATAACTGGTATGTAGTCTCCTGTTGGACACTGACTGACCCAGGACTCAGGCTTCTTCATGTCAATGACTTCAGTGCCCTTATATCAGGCTTGTCTATATATCCTGCTACACCAAGTGAGGCTTATGATCAATATTAATCTCAAAATGACTTTGCAGCCCCCATAATTGCATGAGCCAATTCTCTCTCTCTCTCTCTCTCTCATCTCACATATATACTAGAGGCCTGGTGCACAGGTGGGGTCTGGCGGGCCCACCCAGCTCAGGGCTGATCGGGTCCTGGCTGGCCAGGGAAGGGGACACAGGAGGTTGGCCAGCCGGCCCGCCCCTGGTCGAACTCCAGTCAAACTTCTGTCAAACTTCCAGTTGAGGGGACAATTTGCATATTAGGCTTTTATTAGATAGGATGATATTTCTTGAGGATGTATTGATTGATCCGACTCTGCCTCTTCTGTACTCTGCTACATTGGCTGGTTTGCTGGAAGCTCTTCTCTTGCCAACCTTGGCAAATATTTATAGGCAAAGTGTTCCTAAGATACCTCTTTTCTTGAAAAGGAGCAGGATATTTTCTCTATGTTATTTATTTTCAAATTTCTCCCCTTCTTGTAATTAGGATCTCATCGATATTTGGAGAAATCCCTCACAACACTATTAGTCAGCTATTGCTGCCATACTGCCGCATAACACAATCTTAGTGGCTGACAACAACATGTTAGTATCCTCATTCATAAGTACACTGCAGGGCAACTGGGCTAGCTTTGCTTCAAACTTTCTGTATTTTCATCTGGGACCACTGGCTACTCAGACCATGTTCTTCTTACAACAATACACAGGAATACAAAAGGGAAATTCAAACTGCAAGCATACTTTTTGTTGTTGTTGTTGTTAATCCTCACCTGAGGATATTTTTCCATTGATTTTTAGAGAGAGTGGAAGGGAAGAGTAGAGTTAGAGACAGAGAAACATTGATGTGAGAGAGACACTTCCATTGATTGCCTCCATGCATGTGCCCCAACCAGGGCCAGGGATCAAGCCTGCAAATGAGGTACCTGCCCTTAATTGGAATAAAACCCGGGACCCTTCAGTCCATAGGCCTATCCACTGAGCAAAACCGTCTAGGGCTCAACTGCAAGTATACTTAAACCCTCTGGTTGTATCACATCTGCTAGTATTACATCGGGCACAGGAAATCACACAGCCAAGTCCTGAATATAATGGTGGGAGAGTATACTCCAAAACAAATTGTACAAAGATTTATGTACAAAATATTTATGGGGGGAAAGGAAAAATGGCCAAATGAATTGAAGGAAGTTCCTTGTCCTCTGGCTTTTGCCGGAACATGATCCTTATTTGCATGCAGAGCCACAGTGACGTTTTCTTCTCTAGCGTATAAACGTTTTGCACTGTGACATAGTAGATTAAATTTACCAATAAAGCAACAAATTTATCATCACCAACATAATGAATTTTTTTCCGCACTAAAAAATGTGCTTTTACTTAGAAACGTTAACAAACATCTCTACAGGAAGGAGAGAATAAGATAGAAAAAGAAAGAAAAAGCAGAAAAAGTTTTAAAGAGAAAAGTTATTAGGCAATTCATTTTAAATGCCTTCTGTTTCACTATGGGCCTTTACAAAGGTTGAATTTTACAGCGTTTCACATAGATTGTAAACCTTAGCATTTCACACACGTTGTCAGGAACCTGGGTAGCAGATATTGTGAGACTAGAATAGAAGGAAAAGAGATGTGCAGCATAATTGACATAGAGCATTTTCAAGCAGTTTCCAGCAACCTGGGGTGATCAAGCCAGGCTCTTTGAGGGTCTTCTCCATTGGGGAAGCATGCTGAAGGGCGGTGGAGGAATAGCTTCCCAGCTGCTGCTAACAGGCTATCGAGGCTGGAACACGTTCAAGAATGTCCCCCCAGCCTAACGTCACCTGAGTTATACTGGGTGACACGGCCCCTCCCCTAGTTGCATATAATCTTTACAAAACATTTTACGGTGCAGATTGTTTGCCTTCTGTACTTTTGTTTTTGATATACTTTTTTATTTTACTTAACCTGCTTTTAAAAATGCTGGCTGTGGCAATGAACAAAAGCTATGGTAAAATTTTTCCTTCTAGATCTCCCCACAAATCCATGCCCCCACCCATCCTACCAATTCTTCACTCTCCTCCCCCAACCTCAGCCCAACTTTCCTGAGGGCTGGCTCCGCCCACATATTCCTATGAAGAAAACAGGAACTTTTCATATTGTGAATGTGCAAATTCCTATTTAGACTACCTGGCAAAGACTGGTAAAAAAATACAAAAAAAAATGTTGTTCATATTTAAATGAGTAGAAATCATACTAAAAACTATTAGCCTGAGCAAAACTTTGATAAGGGGACAAGGAACTTAGAACACATTAGAAAGAGAGAAAAACAGTCTCAGAGGAAATGACTAATGGAAAAAAGATAAGCAACTCTTGGTAAGATTGACCAACATTGTTCAGTTTAATTTGTATTTCTAAATTTAATTTTGTGTATTTTCAGGTCTAGGAAAAAAAATGTGAAAGTATTTATACCAGCCATTAAGTTTCAAGTTCATCAATCTAACTAAACAATGAGGTAATTAGACGTCCTAAGCTTGTAAGGAATGCTCCACCACATGTCTCTCTCTCTCTCCTGAAGAAACGCCCCTCTGTGCAGAGCGGTTGTAACTGGATCTTTGTGAAGTAGCAGAACTGGATTTGCGTACTAGAATCACTATAGCTGCATGACTTTGGGTAAGCTACTTAAGCACTCTAAGTCTTCGTTGTCTCATCCGGGTCTAATAATGTCTGCTTTACAGACTTGCTGTGTGCCTTAAAGGGCCCTCCAGCTGTCACTATTAAGGAAGAAGCATATTTGAATTGACTATAATTTTCTCACTTTATTTAACTTTTTACGGAAATTATTTCCCAACGCTACACATTTATAAGAAAAATATTCAATAATTATAATTCTCAATTTTATCTCTCATATCCTGCCTGGTCTCTGTTTCCCCAAGATTCTCTCCCCTCCTTTGCGTTTGAAGACAGAGGTTGGTGAGTCTGCAGTGGGGTTTGAGAAAGGGAAGGGCGACAGGGGTCCAGTGATTTCTCTGCTGACTTTTATCCACTTCCCTTGTTTTTGGTCCCGAATCTCGAGGACACTTTTGTGGGTCTTGGGGCCCTGGTGCCTCAAGGGTTCTTTAAGGTTATTGGGATGGCTTCTCCTCAGTGCATGTCCTCCCCACTTCCAGGAAAACCTGGGTCATAACTGACTATATGAGTTCCATCAAGTGCTGCTCTTCCACTTGCCAAAATGTTTTTGAAATGTATCTTAATGCCTCCCCTCTCCCTTTATCCTGCTAACTGTACGTTTTGCATACTTTTACTCGTTTTTCAGTGGGGTTTGGAGATAATACCCTGTATTGTGAATATGTCATGCTTAACCAGCTTGGAAATTTGGAAATTTAAATAATAGGATTTAAATAAGATATGAATAATAAGAAAGAGAAAGCAATTTTTAAAATGTTAAATGAAGGATGTATAAGAATTGTATCCTTTTATTTTCTGGAGATCAATCCATACATTTAATTTGAGCATTTCCTCCATACAATTCTTAAGACAATGCAGGAAAAATCTTTTTTTTAAAAATATATTTTTATTGATTTCAGAGATGAAGGGAGAGGGAGAGAGAGATAGAAACATCAATGATGAGAGAGAATCATTGATTGGCTGCCTCCTGCACACCCCCTACCAGCAACCTGGGCATGTGCCTGACTGGGAATCAAACTGTGACCTCCTGGTTCATAGATCAATGCTCAACCACTGAACCACCCCGGCAGGGCAGGAAAAAATCTTAAATACTTCTTTTTTTTTAAGCACATTTTCCAGGAATTTTTGTTATCCTTATTCTTTGAATGTATAAACAGAGCTTAATAAATAAGAACCAGAGAATGGGAACTAAGATAAGACTAAACACTCAACTGGCTTAAGTTCAAACTTCATTTTTTGAAGTTCAAGGGGTGTTAAAAGATGCCTTTGACTTTGATAAAAGATAAAAGATGCCTTTGATTTTTTTTTTAAAGAATGCAGTACTTTGCATTTGTAAACCTAAAAAAGATGAACCATGATCAGCAGCTGAATCCTGGTAGCTCACGTGCATCAGAACCTTGTTCTCTTGAGCCGCGTAGCTGAAGGGCGCTTCTCTCTGACCTGCTGTTTTAAAACAGGAAACAAATAGAAATTTAACACTGAGGTAAGTCTAGCACTATATCCAACGAAATAAAAGACAAAGACTTGATTTTGAACATTTATAAAACATAGTATCATATTAACATGAAGTTTAAATCAATATAACATACAGTTTCATATGAATTTCTATTTATTTGCCAAAAAGAAAGCCTGTGTTTCCCAGTTGGGCCTAACAAAATACCTGCAATTAGCAAATCTCCATTAAGCTAAGGTCTGTTCTCCTTGGTCTGGCCATTGTAGAAGTTGAATGAGGTCACTCAATATTTCATGAACCACTAAAAAACCAAAATATCAATTTATTAGAATGTACTAAGAAGTACAGGTGCCAAATAAATCACAAAATTCTTAGCAAATTGTCATTCCAAGTGTTGCATCAAATCATAGACAGCCAGGTCATGTTAACAAAGAGCATCCTATATCTAATAATAAAAGTGTAATATGCAAATTGACTGAATGACCGAACAGCAGAACGACCATCCAGACGACCTTCCAGATGACCACGCTATGACATGCACTGGCTCCAGGCCAGCCAAGGTGGGTGTGATGCGAGTGGTCAGGGGGCCCGCCATTGTCCCAAGATCACCCCGCAGAGGGAGGCCCAGGCCACCCTCTGCGGGGTGATCATCCGGGGGCTCCTGGGAACCAGGAGTGTGTGGCGGCGAACATGGGCAGCATCAGGCCAAGGTGGGTGTGGGAAGGGGGTGGGGCCGTGAGGCAGCTGGGGCCAAGAGGTAGCTGGGGCTGCAAAGGCCTACGCTTGCACAAATTTCGTGCATCAGCCTCTAGTATAATGAAAGGCTAATATGCAAATCGACCGAACAGCAGAATGGCCAGTCGTTATAACTTACACTGACCACCAGGGGGAAGACACTCAATGCAGGAGCTGCCCCCTGGTGGTCAGTGTGCTCCCACAGGGGGAGCACTGCTCAGCCAGAAGCTGGGCTCACGCTGGCAAGCACAGTGGCAGTGGCGAGAGCCTCTCCTGCCTCCGAGGTAGTGCTAAGGATGTCTGACTGATGGTTTAAGCCATCAGTTGGACATCCCCTGAGGGCTCCCAAACTGCAAGAGGGCACAGGCAGGGCTGAGGGACCCAACTGAGTGCACGAATTTCGTGCACCAGGCCTCTAGTAATCAATAACAGGATAAGTCTCTACCGAAATGAACATTTCACAGTCTCTGACAGCACCTTCTACCTTAGTGACAGGAACCTGAAAATTGTCTTACAAAGTTTTTTCTTTTCAAGTATTCTTACCCGACCCCAAAAAGCACCTGTCATAAAAGCAAATCTTGCCCTAGCTGGTTTGGTTCAATGGATAGAGCATCAGCCTGTGGACCAAAGGGTCCCAGGTTTGATTCCGGTCCAGGGCATGTACCTAGGCTACAGGCTCCTCCCCGGCCCAGGCCCTGGTCCTGGCATGTGCAGGAGGCAACCAATCTATGTGTTTCTCTCTCATTGATATTTCTCTCTGTCTTTCCTCTCTCTCCCACTCTCTCTAAAAATTAATGGAAAAATATCCTTGGGTGAGGATTAAACAATAAAACACAAAAACTTTAATTAAAAAAAAACAACAGCAAATCTTTATAGGAGACACCTTGTAGTGCTGTTTCCAGTGTTCAATACATGTTGGTTGCATGAATGTTAATTGGGTGATAATCTCATGTTAATTACTCATTTATGCGTATACTTTTCATTCCTTGATTAAACAGAAGTATTTAATGGAAGCAGGTTGCTCTTTGAAAGAAAAAAAGCTTTGAGAGGAAATCAAATGGATTTTGAGGAAGGAAGCAAATGGCCAAATGCTCAAAACCACCCTAGAAAACAATTAACCAAAAAGCTGTGATCACAGCACTGTTGTGTCTGACTGATGTTACATGGGCCATAGAAACCATGATAATATTTAGGATGTATTCAGTTCTTTACAGAATCACAGTTGCACATCATCTTTTGGTTGGTGTTCACAGATGACAAATTTATTTATTATATCTTCACCAGGGGATATTTTTCCCATTGCTTTTCAGAAAGGGTGGAAGGCAGAGAGTGGGGGAGAGAAAGAAAGAGGGGGGAGAGGAGAGGGAAACATCGGTGTGAGAGAGACACATCAACTGGTTGCCTCCCACACGCACCTCAACAGGGGGTGGGGAGTGAACCCAAAACCCAGGTACATGCCCTTCAGTGCGAGGGCCGATGCTCTAACTGTTAGGGGCAGAAATAGAATATTGGGGACCAGCTACAATGATAAGGAATATTAACCATGCTCTGTTAGCCATGATGGTTCTGTTCTGATTAGAGAAAGCACATTCTAACTTGGCTGGGAGTTGTACGCCCTGTGACATGGGCGCTAACATCGGAGTGCAGTCCATCCTCCTGTCCTGAGAACTGTCTATCATTATGGAAAGATTTACAACCTCATGGCTGAAGCAATCTAGTCCCAGAGGCACCCACTCTTTACAACCCCCAGCCCCTATTGCCTGTAATCTGGTCCTGGGGCACCCACCCTCTGTGACCTTTCCCCCCTCCCTCCCAAGCCCACAGGACTTGTAACCTGTAATGATTATCCTGTGCCTACTTCCCCGTGCCTGTAATTCCTACTTTACCATGTAATCTTTGTCCTTCTACCCAGTATAAGCAGCTGGCTTATGGGGAGGGGCAGAGCAGATTTTTGTGGATGACCTGCTGCTCTCCTATACTGCCGGCAGTATTGGAATAAACGCTCATATATGATTCAGCCCTGTCTCTGCTTAATTGGCTCAAGTGGCGACAAGCATCAAACCCCTTGGTTGTCTGGCTACATAACCACTGAACCACACTGGCCAGGGCACAGATGACACATTTTTTAAAATATATATTTTATTGATTTTTTACAGAGAGGAAGGGAGAGGGATAGAGAGTTAGAAACATCAATGAGAGAGAAACGTCGATCAGCTGCCTCC